TCCCTTACCAGAAATGTTGTAATCATCAAAGTTTCCCCATTGTTAGTGTTTTCTTGTTGTTGTTGCTGCTGTCCAGGAGGCTTTTTCCTCTTACCCAGGACAAAGCATCACAGCTTCAAATTTTAGGGTGGGTAGTGTTTCTGAAGCAGGAGAATGTCTGATGCAAACACCAGCATATCCTGACACAAATTAGTTTGAGCAAAAAGTAGTCCTAAAAGTTGAGGATAGGGAAATAGGTACACTTAAAGTGATAGTTTTCTGTGTACCACTTGAGAAGTTTTCACAGACCAGAGTTACATAGGCCACAGCTTGGATACCTCTAATTGGTGAAACAAAATGGGGGAGGAGCTGCTGCTCTCATGGTAGATGGAAGTTTAAGGTAGAAAAAAGATTAAGGAGATTATTCTTTTTTTTTTTTTTTTTTTTTTTTGGTACCAGGGATTGAACTCCGGTCCTTGCGCTTGCAAGGCAGGCCACCGAACTGCTGAGCTAAATCCCCAGCCCTAAGGACATTATTCTTAATAATTGGACTAAAATGAGTTCTTTAGATCAACTCCCCATCCTCCTGAATGCTAATTAGAGAAGAGTATGAGACTGGGAAAAAAGGGCTCACAGCAGACTCCAAAGCCCTTTTAGGGTAGTGAACAGCATGCATTTTTCTCACACATCCTTAGCAATTGTAGACTGGTTGATGGAAGGCTGGGTGGGGATTTAGGGATCCTTTCTTCATTGGATGAAACCCACATAAACTGAGAGGAATCTAGGAACCAACAGTTCTCTGATATGCAGACAGGCGGTCAGTCAGTCAGCAACAGGACTGACTGGCAGCTATGCACAAACCTTCAGGCTGAGGTTCAAGAGCAAGTTTTAGATCCATGGTGACAGCTTAGGAAAGCAATGCAGGGTCCTACAGGTGGAGGGGCTGGTGTTCTGAGCAGGAGGCCTAGGCAAGATCTTAGGTGTCACGACTAGGGAGGAGCATAGGAAAAGAGCTCTTAATTTGGTGTCCTCAAACAAATCATTTAATCTTTTGGAGCCTCTTATTTATTCATAACATGTGAATAATTATGGTACCAATCTTACAGAGTCATTGTAAAGCATAAATAAGTTCATTCATTTGAAGGATTAAACCAAGTATCTCACAGATACCTGTTCTAAGGAAAAAGATGAAAAGTAATTGTAAGACAACCATAGAGGAGACAGAGAGAGAGAGAAAAAAGGGGGTAGAAATGACAAGTCTTTCTCAAAGGAAGAAGAATCTGATGATCAGAACTGGGTCACAAGTCAGAGTCAAACCATCTTGCACAGAAAAGTCTCCTCTCTTTTAAGGACAGACATCTAAGAACAGAAAGTTAAAGGTAAC